GAGCGGTGGGCCTAAGGAAATGATTTATTTTGTTGTCATAAGTATATACTGAATATAGAAGGATATGAATATAGAAGGATATATGCATGTGTGATTTTTAGAGTAGAAAAACAATTGCTTTAAGAATGTAAAATTACAAAAGACCTAAACGATAAACAGCTGTGCTGTGACTTTAAGTTATTCACCGCATTAGAAATATGCTGTAGGATGACCCAGAAGTGTTGCGTATACAGAAGAGCTTCATGTGGATGTTGGCAGTGCAAGTTTCCCCTTGGTATTTATTGCTCTACTGCAGTTCTAAAGCAGGAAAGACTGGAAAGGGAAAATTTACTACCTGCCGTGCTTTACTGCTTTGCTGATACGGTAACTGAAACCCCTTTTGGTAAAAGGAGTCCTAGAGTGAGCATGCTCTCATTGGGAAATAAACATTTAATCAAGCTAAACTAGGCTGGGTGAAATCCCCCTCCAGTCAAACGCCAGCTGCTTTTGGTCATGGCTACTGTGAATGTAGTTTGAATTAACCAGTAACATTTTTAAAGGCTAGAAATGATCACTTGTAGTGGACTTGTCATCACTGTGATGGATTGTTGTTTCTAAGAAGGAGGACTACGGGAGTAACACTTATTGGACTTCTGATTTAATAGGGCTCAACTCCACCAGTGACTGTCTTCAAGGGCTCAAAGAAGCCTTACCTAAAAGAATGTATCTTAATTATCAACCATGACACTGGAGAATGTCGCCTAGAGAAACTTAGTAGCAACATCACTGTGAAAAAAACCAGGTGGGTGATTTACAGAAGAAACAACTGTGCTTTACCCATTGTGAAAATCGACTTGTTAATGAGTCCAAATTGAGATACATAACTACCCATTACTATTTTTAGCAAAACATAATTTTTAGAAAGTACCTGGCCTTGTTCAATAGAGTGAAAAATCTGCTTTCTCAGCACACTGACTTCACAGCTTTCGAGTCTTGACTGACAGAAGAAATAGGATATTTTTTTTTTATAACTAAAAACCATCACATTGTTGAAAGAGATGGTAACTATTTTCTGATGAGTTTGGGGTGGGGTGGGGTGTATGTGGAATCTGTTTGGAAAGTAGCTTGCCTACTGTCTTCTGACTTCTAAATGAGGAAATAAAAAAAGATAAATTCTGTGACATGTTTCAGTAATATTAATGGCTTGTTTTTCTCATAACAAGTTTTTGAATTTTTTTTTTTTTGCTGCTGAGTCCATGTAAGTAATTTCCAGCAGAATTATTATTAAGTGATCCTGGATAGCCAGGTATAAAAACTAATCAACTGACAAACGGTTAAAGTTGTTAGCACTGTATTAAAAAACAATTTTTAATACTTCTATATATAATTGTATGCCAGTATAATAATGTCCCTAGAAATCTAATAATGCTATTTAGAAAGCCATGACAAATAATTCCATAACTTAAAGTACTGTAACCCCTGAATTCTTGCCTTTTTCCTTGCATCTCATCTTCTAGTAATTAAAAATCTTTTGCTTTTATAAAAGAGCTGAAGGAAGCAGTAAAGTCCAGTCTCGCATAGAGCAGCAACAGCAGCAAATGCGAAATGCGACTAAGGTTCCAAACAACATTAAAAATTCTCCACCAAAAGAGAAGATGTTTCCGTCTTCTCCTATGGATGATATTGAACGAGGTAAGCTCCACTGGCACATAAGTTTCAGAAACTTTGCTCTTAACAAGCAATTAGTTTTTAAACTAATTTTAATTAGTCTTTTTGTGTGTGTGGTTTTTGGTGGTGTGTTGTTTTTTTTCCTAATTTGAAATTCACACTAGAAGCTGATTATGTAAGCACTTTACCCTGATACGGAAATAACCACTCTGGCTCAAGTGGTAACAAAGCAGTAGTTGAAACTTACTAAGGTAAAAAAATCAGATGAACCTGTAGGCTTAATAATGCCAGGGGTCCCACTGCTTCCTCTTCTTGATTCTGTCTTCTGCTGCTACTTTAATCCAGTATATAGTTGGTTGTATTGTGGCACTGGAACCAACTGAGTCACTCTGTTCTGACGTCGCTGCTCATTCTTTCTCTGCAGTCAGCAAACGTACAGGTTACAGTGCTTTACAACTCAAAATACATTTTAAATTACCGGATAATACCTTGTGACAGATGAGGTTGCAATGAAAAAGATGGCTAAAACCTCAATAAATCAACCCTTGAACAGTGCTATGTACTGTATTCTTGAGAGACTCTGGTTTGGTGCGATGCTCCTATTTGACTTAATAGGAAGCCTTATTTCCTTTTGGAGGACACGGAAGATGGCAGGTGGTAATTACTTGCTACAGAAATGCTGACAGGTGGCAGTTTCATTGACTGGAATTAACATCTGCCTCCCAAGATGTTCTGAATTCCTTTAAACAGATTTTTGTAGATGTGTCATTAGGAAGGGCTTTTTTTTTGGTTTTGTTTTTCCATTTTGATCTTAAACTCTGATCAGAAATCTATACTACAGGACAGTACTAGAATACATCAAGGTTGCAAAGAGGAAGGAGTACTTGAGCGCATGGAATAAAATGATACTTTTTCTTGGTGGTCTGTTGTTTTGGGGGGAGTGGTGGTGTCAAACACATTGCACATCACCGAAGTGGCTGTCAACATGTATCAAACTCTTGTGTAGTGCCAGTCCAATTTTGAGTACTACTAAAGAATGTGGAATAATTGACAGATGGGGATCTTTTAAAGTCATCTAGTCCATCCTTCTGTCTTAAAGTGAGATTTCTGATGTCATTTTTTTACCATGTTCTTAAAGTCTTCCAGTGACAGATCCCGTGTTCTCTCTGGCAATCCATTCCAGGGCTTTGCTCTCCTTACAGTTCAGGTTCTTTCTAATAAATAATCTGACTGTAAGCCCATTACTACTTTCATATTTATCATGCAAGTATAGATCAGATTACTCTGCTGCTTTTGAGCAGTCCTTCGTGTACTCACAAGCTGCTATGTCTTTCCCACTCTTTATACAAAATGATGCCAGCTGGTTCAATCCTTCCTTAGAAGTTAAGTTTTCTAGATCCCTGATTCATTGTCACTCTCCTTTAGCTATCTTACGACAAGTCCAAAAAATTCCTGACATATAGTGCCTAAATACATCCACAGTTTCAGCTAAGGTTTTAGCAGTGCTGAATTGAGCAAGAAGACTGTCTTACAGGCACTATTCATCTTTATACACAAAGACCAAATGGTATCACATCCCAGTGTAATGCTTGTCATTTCCACAACACAACAGTGCAGCAGAACTGTGCTTAGTGATCCACTGTAACTCACAGACTCTTCAGAAGTGTTGCCTACCAAATCATTCTCTATCCCATCTTTGTGTAACTGACTATTCCTGCTTAAGTACACTACCTTGAACTTGTTACTAACTTTGTTTTCTTGGGTGAAGGGGAAGATCACTCTACCTTTGTCCTCTAGTATACGTACAGTCCTTCCTTCACTGTTTGAAAATACTTATTTTAAATCTGCCAGATTAAATTACATCAAAATTCAAGGCAGATCTTATTCCTCATTAGCCTTTCACTTAAAATTTTTCTCTTATTGGACATTGGTGAGAGCAGGGAAGAAGTGGAATTAAATGTGTAGGACCTGAGTGGTATCTTTCAGTTAGCTTACAGCGCCAGATGTCTGGTAGATCAGTTGTTTCTTTGACCTTTCTTCTCTAGAATTAATTTTGAAATGACTTCTAGATTGTTCTTGATCTTCCTAATTTTTGCCTTAGCTTTTCTGTCTTCTTTTCTGTCCTTAAGCTGTTCTCTTATATATGTCCTTAGCAACAGGAGGATACTTCCATTTATTTATTTTTTTTTTCCCCCTCCTCTTCTCTTTCCTGATGTTTGAGTCAGCCAGTATGATCTTTTATTGTACTTTCTGTTCTTCCTTGGCATTGGGTTAGTTTGTTCTTGTAGCCATAGCAGCGCTATTTCGGGTGCCGTTTTTCCTGAACGCCATTTTCCTTTAGACTGGCCTTTGATAAGGCTGACTGACCTAAGTACCTTTCGTTTAGAGTGGCCTTTGATAACTCAGAATTGGAAGGCTTCATGGAAGTTTGTGTTGAAGCTTATTCTTTTGTTCTCCCTTCTTCTCTTGATTAAGCTCTGAGCCATCTTACATCTTAGTGACTTTCATCTTCAACCCGTTCTTCTGTATTGGCTGAACTTGAAGTGAGATGAACCACTCTCCTACTTGCTTTTTATGTCTGCTATATCAAAGCTGTTCCTGAAGTATTGCGAGTGCTTGTAAGACCATCTTAACTAATGTCTGGGTAGTTACAATCTTGTGTAATGATGAACTTCTGCACTCTGGGTAGCTCCTCAAGTCGCTATATAAAATCTCCATCCACCATGATTCCAGTGGTCTGTTTCAGACCTCTTGCTTCAGCAGCATCCCTATTTTGCACAGTTATTATGTGTACCCTTTCTGCAAACTTAACTTCCTCTCTATGTTGGACTTTGGCTAGTGCATATCAAAAATGCATAATGTGCAGCATGGTCTGTCCAGTCATACTCTCTTAAATATTACGGTAGTCAGATGAGTTATTTCATCAGCAAGTTGGTTGAGTCAGTTTGATCTGTTAATTTCCAGTATTTCTTGTCTATCTCATGTTGTTCTAGCTTCCCCGCACCACCCCTTCAAATCTGTAAAGAGAAGGATTTGGTGAAATCCTCCTTATAGTAAACTGTGGATGGTTCCTTTGGATATTCTTCATGCTTAACTTGGTTTTGAGCAAAATGTCACGTAGTCCAAACCAGTGTATTGATTGTAATGCTGAACTGCTGGGAGGCATTTTGGGTGCAACTGCATACTTCTTACAGCTAACTTATCTGGGTGATTGTAACTGCAGTTTTTACTCAGTGAAGGCCATCTTTGGGGGCTGCTAGGGAAAATACAGAAGACTTGCTAGTTGCAGAAATTAAAGGCTATGTGGGATGCACTACCCTGTGGAATGTGGGGTTAGCATTTGGGTTCACAGTCACCGTTGTTCTAATGCTTGGCTTGAAAGGGAAAAAGTGCCCAGGCTATGAGAGAAGAAAACCCTATGACAAGCTGGATGCTTGCTTGTGCACTTTTCTTTGTTCTGGAGAGTTTTGGTGGTTTTGGTTTGGTTTTATTTGGTCTTATTAGTTGCTATAATCATGTAACTGATTTCTATTGTTGATTTTCCTTTTTTATTATTTTTCCCTCCTTCCTATATTTCTGTTATGATGGATGTTAACTGAGAAACAAATCATATTGTTTGCAGAGCTAAAAGCAGAAGCCAGTATCATGGACCAGCTGAGTAGCTCTGACAGTTCATCTGACTCTAAAAGTTCTTCATCCTCTTCATCAAGTAGTGAAAATAGTTCTAGTGATTCCGAAGACGAGGAAACGAAGCCCTCTCTTCCTATCTCAATGCCATATTTGCAGCCGCAGCCTACTGTGTCTGCCATACCACAACAGGCTGTCCCTGACAAAGATGCCAGTCATAACAGATCCCAAGAGAGCAGTGGTCATATGATGAATACACTACGTAAGTACAAAGGCTGTTCTTTTCTTAGTGCACAATTCCAGACATCAAGATTCTGAAAGGAAACCATATTGTTTTTAAGTATGTCTGTTGTAATTAAAACTGTGGGAAGCGATGCTAGGGTTTAATTTTTCAGCAGCATTCTGAATTAGACACTGGGCTAGAAGATTCTTGGTCCCCAGAGATATTAAATTAAAACTGATGCAGTTGAAAATATTTCCTAAGTTCTTCTGGCTTCCTCCCAGTTATATACATTGGGACTGGAGAACAGTAATTTTGTATTGAAAATACTTGAACTAACAGGGCACTCCCAAAACATATGCTTATAATTTCTGGGGTAGAACTATGGGAAGTGTACTATACTCTGAATTACATAAGAGACGGTGTATTCTTAGCTACTTCAATTACTATTATTCATGGCATTGTTCCACTGGACAGCATGGCAAAATTGTCCTTCGCATGTAAGGAAGGAGGCGATTTGCTTTCAGATGATACTATCTTATTCCACCCATTCAGACAAATAAAAATGTAATTTGAAGAGTAGCTGTGATGTTCTTCAAGAAGTGGTTGCCACGCAGCCTGTAATTGAATGCTCAGTGTATTCCAAAAAAGGATAGTTTGGACAGGAAAAAAATCCCACTAGGTAGGAAATCTTAAGTTCACTATCTAAATAGCAGGAGTACTCAGACATAGAAGTGAGTATTCAGCTATGGTGATGCTTTGAAAATTATTGTATTTTTAATTAGCTGCTTAGCTGCAGGCTCTCAGTTTGAAGAGAGTCCCATCAACCCTAGTTTGCAGCGTAAGATCTTTAAGGTTTATAATTTATATGTAAACTTAATGTACTGAAATTTTAGACTCTGGCAGATCTACTTTTATTTGAGTACTTAATGGATAACATGAACAGGGTTTTTTTTGTAGCTAGCATTTAAATACTTACATAAATAATCAGCACAGATACTTAATTACTGCATTAACAGATAAGATCAGACTGAAAAGTCCTGTGACTTCATGTGCAAAGGACTAAATGCTGCTTTCATTTTACTGTCACAGTACAGAACAATGTCTTCATGTTTATAACTTGTATAACTTTAGAGTGTGCCATTTATTTCAACTTGTATTCACAAATGGGGTTTCTCATTCTTCATGCTTTAAATAAAACTGTTATGAAAATGAGATTAAGCTCTATCCCTAGTGACAGAATCCCAGCTGGTAAAGCTTCCACTGAGACATACACTTACAAGTACAGGTGGCCAAGTCCACCAGTTCCAACAGTCATAGTGAGAATATGCTGCTTAAAATATGACAACATCAAAACAGTTACAGGGGAAGTTGGTGGCTTGATGATGCTTGAGAACCACGTTGACAGGTAGAACCTCTGTCTGTAGCGTCAACCCTTGGGCTTGACTATCTGACCTACAGCTTAATCCCATTTACTCCTGTTATGGTTACAGATCTAGTTATTGCTTAAAACAATTCTGTCCCCAGCTTCTAGAACTAAAATATACTTCAACTAGACAAAGATCAAAACAGTTACTTTCAAGAAGAATGGATTTCTCTAGCTCTCTTGCTGAGGGAATTTGGCAGGAGATTGAAACCTGGAGAAAATAAATGAATAGCATATGGTTCTAACTTGAATGGCAAGAGTTCTCAGTCGGGGTCCTGTACAGTAATTTCTTCCATCTCGAATAATGTTTTACAAAAATAAAATACTGAATCAACAAATGTCAGCACAAGCTGTTTGCTTGTCTAATCCTGTTTTGAGGTTTGACCGTTTATGTGCGTGACTAGTTTTGTGCACCTCTGTAGAATGAGGGCCATACTGGGTAATTAGTGAAGTTTCCCTTTGGCTTGCTGTGTGCAGGCAGAAGGCTGGGGGAAGGCTTAGAACGAAGTTTCATCTTGCATGTAAAAGTCATATAGCTGAGGTTTTGTGGAACTTGGAAAACACAGGAGGTGGTGTCTAGAGCTTGGTAACCAAATACTTCTGTCAGATATACATAATCTGCTTCTTCAGGAATCTGGGGCTCAAGACTGCCCCTTACCCCCAAAATGCTGTTTCTTCCCCTTTCTACCTTCAGAAGCTGATTATATAGGCTCACAACTTGCCTTATAACAATGTTTGTAAATGGTGGCACTAATGAATCTGTTATTTGTAAATATTTGATCATATGTTGCTTTCTGTATACTTTTTGTTTAAACAAGACTTGTGTTAAATAAAGTAATTTTCCAAAGAAAAAAGAACATAGACTGGCTATTCTTGGGCCTTGTGTTTTGTACATAGTATTCAGCACATCTTCGCTTCTTTTGATACTTGGTGCTGGTACAAGCAGCTAGTAATGAAATAATTTTTCCTTGTATTAGTTTGGTGTTGGTGTGACCACTAAGATCTGTGAAACACAGGTCACTCCTATGAGTTTCCCTGTCCCCTATAACTTGCAAGAATTCAATTGAATGTATTATAGTCACTCATTTAAAAGTTTAGGAAATGTCATAATTTGCAGTGCCTCTGTTTCCCCAATTAATATTGCTAATAAGCAATTGGCACTGTAAAAATTGAATTCAACAGTTTTCCCCGCTTTATTGCTGCCTCATAAGAGTCTAGATGTTTCTTCAGAGTCCTAGTTAAATGAGCTTTCCGCTCTTGCACCAAACCCATCTGAAAACTACCAACTCTAGTCTGTGTTATTTTGCCATCTCTCTGAAGGTGTTTTTTGGAGGCAGGGTTGTAAAAATGGGGCAGAAAGTTTTCTCTGAAGTAAATCCTAATGCATTGTTTCTGACTCTGGAACTTGGAGTTCTTGCTTTTACCATCTGCTGGTTTTCACAAGCATTGGTATTTTTGGCTGGTGTTACAGGGTTTGTGTAATTTCTATTAACTATGTTGAAAAAACTTTTGAAGGCTGCAGAGTCACTATTTGGAAGGTTATCTTGTTCATACTCACAGTCCTTTCCTAAAGTAGGTAGTGCATAACAAGGCTGGGATTTCTAAGAATTCACTGTAAGTTTTCCTTTGAGTCATAAATGTATTGAGTTTAATTTACTAATTCTATTCTCTGCCTTGAAATATTATTTCTTAGGATAATATATTGTCCTGAATAATTACTTACAAATTACTTGATTTTGTTATTTCAAAATTGCTTTTTAAATTTATATTAAAAATACAGCTGTAAATGCTGTCTCTATATAGAGGATTGGAAATTTTTTTTTCTACAGTACTACTTTAAAGATTGCTGGAAACAGCCATCTTCACTATTCTTGTCTTATATAAAGTGTTTTCTGTTTTGTTGCAGAGAATCATGTACCACTTTCTAAGCTTTAGTGATGACATAGTGGAAAACAAAGGAAGGCTAAATACAGCCACGTTAAAGACTTCAGTGTTCTGACAGAAATTGTATGCCTGATAACAAAAGATCCAGTCTGAGTCTTCTTGGGTTTATTCTTTTGATGTTACTTTTTTTTAACCCATCTGCAAAAGTGATCTGTGAAGGGTGCTGCACCTGAGGAAAGGGCATGTGAAAATAGTGTGCCTACTCAGTTTCAGTGATTTTTTTGGTGTTTTTTTTTTTCCTTTGTTTTTTAGGCCATTTCTGTACCACCTGAGATGCATTCCTTTTTTTTTTTCTTTTTTAATGGCTGTTTGGCAAGCAAGGTGTGAATAAAAGCATACCAGTTGGAAGAAAAAAATGTGTCGGAAGTTGCTTGATATGATGTAGATTCTGTATAGCATGCTGCTGTATTTTTTTGCTAGTTATCTGTCATCCTGGAAAGATTCCCTCCCATCCCCTAAGCTTATGGACATCCATTGCAAGCACAATGTAGTCTTTCTTCTTACTTCCCCATTTTGAAATATATATAGCCACCAAATTAAAGTGCTGCGTAAAATTTCTTTTGATGTTTTGTTTGTTCACTTGTTCCAAAACCTGTTTGAAATAGTAGGTCACTGATACATCTTTAAATGGTACATCAAAGAGCTGCTCTTCTTGATTGAGACAGCACTTTGTTTTCAAGCACAGCTGAGCAGCATTCAGATGTGTTTCAAAAAAAACAACAACTTGTTTTTCACAAAACTGCATTCACCAGCAGTTTTCCCACTTATGAAGCATGAAAATGTGGGTGGCAAAGATAGCTAGGTGTTGTCTTTTGTGATCTGGTGATATTAAATAAACGCACTCGTGGCTAACAAGCTAATGGCTTCCTTGCCAAGACTTCAAAATTGTAGAAAAGTGATCTCTCTAAGGTTCTGTGACTGGGAAGTTTGGTTCTACACCTATTTGTTCTCTTATAGAATAGTTTGGGTTAGAAGGGACCTTTAAAGATCATCTAGTCCAACCTCTCTGACCTGTTTGGTATTGGTTTTTGTAAGCCTTTAATTGGGAAGGGGAATCTCTTGAAAGGAGAAAATTATTTCCTTGAAAATGACTAATACGATGACTCTCTCTCTTCTAGGAAATGACTTGCAGCTGAGTGAATCTGGAAGCGATAGTGATGACTGAACAAATTTTTGGCCTTAAATGTATCACCTTTTTTGCTAAATATGGCTTAGCATCTGTTTTGCACTAAGATTAGATTACCAGAGACTGGAATGAATGTCTTCGATTTTGATAACAGACATCCTAATTTTCTACTGACACATCATGTCTATAATACAGCAGCATTGACATCCTGTCAGTGCTATGGTTGTTTATCTTTCAAATTACTGTATTTACAGTAAAATTATGTATGATCTGAATTTGATTATTTTTGCCTCAGCCACCTGTTTTACTTGAAACTGATTTGTAACAGCTAGTTACTTTATATAAATAGTTATGGAATGGAGAAATTTCTGATATTTATGGAGGCAAGTTTCCTTCCTATCATTTAAATGCTGAATGCTGATCTCACAACTTTTACTTGGAGAGAGTGAAAGGGAGAACAACTAAATGAGGTCTGCTGTGTCAGCTACACTTTTTGTTCAGTTCACAGTTCATACCTTTAAGGAAACTGCTGAATAATGTGGTCCACTAGTGCAGTTACAGTTTACAATTGTTCAACACGTTGCTGAATTCTTAATTTCATTGTATTATAGGACTTTATATTTCTGAGCCTCAAGATTCCTAAAGGAACTTGTCTATTCTCTGCCTTTTTTTATGTAACTTGAATAGGCTGGTCTTTTTACAACCTTTTTGTATCTAAATTTAAATAACTGCAGAGACAGCAATGAACTTCCTTCATTTCATTCTGTAACGGAAATCAGAATATTTCTTTGTAGGAGGATAAAAGTAATTTAATAAAGCAATATTTATCGTTGTCATCCATCTGATTCCATTTTTACTGGTTAAGAATTCCACTTTCTAGCTATGGTAACCATGCCAGTGAAAGGGTCATGCAAAGAAACAGAAGGCAGTGAAATGGTAGCTAATACGGACCCCCCACCCTCTCTGCAAGACTTAAGTGTTTGTTGCGTTTGCCCTAATAAGAGCTCACCAAAAGTTTGTGGTAGTGTACTGATGAATGTTTATTACAGATGATATCCAAATGCCATTGGTAAGTGATACTGTGTTAGACAAGAAAAGGTGTTTGCCTCGTCTTACTTTTTCCCAATTTGTAATTGTATTTCAAGACCTGAAGAAGTCCAAATTTCATCCTGTAGTTTACTCCTGAAGAGTTTTATAACTAACAATAGCAAATGTGTGTAGGATTAATTCTGATGAGCTAAATCTGCTCAGTCCTGCCCAGAAGTCTCTTTGCTAGATTGCAGTGACTGAATCGCAGCTCTCTGTCTAAACTGTGAGGATTGAATCATATATGTAAGCCTGAATGTGCAGACATGAAAAAATGCACACTCAGTAAATGCATACAATAGATGGTACTAGACTAGTTTATTCTGTCAACTGTGCTGCAAGTATCAGCCTGTGCTTACCTCTAGACAGATTAAGAGGCCAAAACCATGTCCACCCCTCGCAAAGGAACCTTTATTGGTACCACCAGGAAGAAATGAAATATTGGAAATGCTGCTTTCTGATGCTTCCCCACCTTGTACTCCGTACCCCAAACTATGGTACTGGTCCATGCTGTGCACCAGGTAATAGCTTACAAGTCTTCCAGCTTCCTGAAGTTGGTATCATAAGAAGCAAAACATTTTCTTGTTTATACTCAAAGGCAAAAGCTCAAGTTAATTACTGTGGGTGAACAGGCCTTTGAGAAGAAAAGGGCTGATGAGCAACCTTGAGGAAGGATGATGTGTAATAACCACAAGATACTTGGAACTTTCTCAAGGGAAAGGGTATTGAGTTCTCCGATAGATCGTAGTTGTTGGTATGGGAACTCTAGCAGAGCACTTGGTTCTTGGCACCTGCTGCTAATCAAGTCTGCTAGGGCCATGTGAGGAGCCGAGATGTTGCAGGTAACCTTAGGACTAAGGAGCAGCCCTGTGTGCTAAATAGAAAGGGGTGCATGACAATGCAGTGTCCTCAGCTGAAATGTGCTTTTTTTGCCATCTGTCCCCAGCGGTTTATTTGCATCAAAGCATCCCTTTAGGCCAATGCTGCTGTTTTTTCTGAATAACAGTGCATTTGGGGTGTATGGGAGCGAGCAGATCTGTGGAAGCACTGGCCAGGCCAGGGTCTAAAGCATGGAGAGTGTGTGTACTCATGGGTTGTAATCACTCCTTCAGTGATAAAGCTGTTGAGTACAATCTACCTGAATCTGTATAGAATTGCACTTACATGTATACAGCTGCTTAAAGATAGTTCTGGGAGTAAAGCAGATTTCCAGTTTCCTGAGTCTCAGGATTGTAACTAAGCCTGTGCTATCTTTAGGATTTGATCTTTGGGTTGAAAGCTTTCTAGGATGGGAAGAGTCTTAGTTAAGCTTTTGTATAGCGTGTAGTACAGAGTCATTAGTGGCCAGTCAGGCACTACCCAGTATAAATAAATATGTGATCTAGATGGATATATTCTGTCAAAAGCACAGTTGTGATAATTCAGGAAAGGCTCCCTTTAAATATCAAGACAGGCCATAAGATTCTGGAACAGAGTTCTTCCAGAGATAAGGGGGGAAAAAGATAACAGATCTTCAATGTGTGAAGGCAAAAAGCTCTGTGTGCTGTATCCCACCCAAATGTATGTGATGTGACTCCCCTTCTCCATCTAAGTGTCAGACATAGGCAAGTGAGCTAAAGAGCTTGCCTGGGCCTGTCGTTGTACAGAGGGGGTCTCATTTGTGACTTGCTGGGGGTGTTTCCTCCCCTAAGGCTTGGTTTGTGTGCCCCGAGCAGTGCTGAGCCTCCATGTCTCCTACTGCAGGGTGTTCTCAAATGGCAGGAGTGAGAAGGTGGTTGCACTGAGATTTAGAACATCAATAAGGGAGGTATTCTAGCAATAGAAAATGAAATCAGGTTGTCTTTTTTGATCTTGGAAATATTTTTTGGACCCTGATTTGAAAATTCTTTTCTTCTCCTTTAAAAACAGTTTTATTCCTGTGATGTCAACTTACCTAGAAATTAATAAAATCAGCAACTGCTATAAGTTCCTATGACCATGATGTTGCTACATCCTCTGAGTGCCTCTCTCAAAATACGCTTCTGAAATATATCTGGTTTTATCTTGTTGCTTTCAGCTGTTTTTATCTTTACATCCAGAGATTTAAAGCCTATGTGTGTGTGTGTACATCTCTAAGCAGTAGATATATTTGAAGAATATTTTATTGTGACATTATATATATTATTGTGACATTATAATTAAGCTATTGTGTATGTTTTGGATTTGAGGAACATCTGCATATCACTTACATTGATAAATCAAAAATATCTTCCAAATGCAGCTGGAAACTTCAAAATCTTTTAGTCCTCTGACTACCGCAGTGCTAAGGACCACTGCAGCCACAGGTCACCTGAGCCCTTCTCTCTGCATGGCACCTGGTACATGCACAATTTGTCTAGTAACTACCTTCACGGTTGCGGTATTCAACCTCCATTAAGTCCTGAAACGGTGATTATGTATGCTTACCAATTGTAACTACTTTGCCTGGCAGCTTCCAATTTTTGTAAGATCTCTGTCCTACTCTTGTTTTTCATGAACCCTGCCTTAGGATATGCGGAGAGACTGAGGTGATCTCTTCAAGGCAGCCCTGGCACCACTGCATTCCATGACTAACACTGGGATTGCCGTTTACTTGAGGGGTTTCTGTCCATCTGTAACTCCTCCTTGAGATCCTTGCCCCTAATTCTGTAATGGGCCTTTAGAAGTTAGAGTATATAAGCATCAAACTCGATATACCATGCATTTTGTAGTTTTTGGTAAGTAATAATCTTATTTCCTGCGTAATCTCTGAAAATTATTTTGATACCTAGGCATGGATTACTGAAAACAGCTGCTCATCAAAATCATGATATCAGCATCAGCTGGAGCACAGCTAATTGTGGCATTTATTGTCAAGGCACCTGATATGATCAGCTTTACTGCATGAGCTTTGTTTTTTATTTTGGAGGAAGGCAGGAGATAACCATTTTTCAGATTAAAGGACTTTAATAAATCACTTCTGTGCTAACAGACAGTGAATCGTCTTGAGAACAGAGCAACAGTGTTTCTAAGAAGAATTATTTGTTGGCTCTTTCTTGACTGATTCTGGGGAACCAAATAAGAACAGATCATCTCAGATAATACTTTGCTTTGGTCCTCAAGATTTTGGCATACAAAAATTGTATTATTTTTGGCCAACACTTTTTATTTTCTTCAGAGTTTCTACAGGAAGGTTTCTGAGAATAGCCAAGCAGACTGTTGAATCATTCTTAAACAGAAGAGATGAGGGTGCCTAGGCTGGACAGAAACAAAGAAGCCCAGAGGAAGAAAGATGACTTGGCTCATGATGGTTCCTAGACTGAACACTTGCAGCACATGTGAATTCCTCTTCTCACCACTTTTTGAGGTCATTCAGCTAACCACATAAGGTGCTGAGGACAGACTAAGTAGGTATGGAGTTCAGAACAGCTTTTTGAGGAGATGTAAAAAGAATGAGGAAAAGAGAAGTTCTGAACAAGGGTGTTTGCATTTCATTAAAATATATATT